ACATCCGGTAAGAGTAGCAATAGACGTACATGCCGATAATAAAAAACGTCCATTTAAACGCAGTTTGAAGTTTGTTCTATTCTCCGAGCTGAACAAAATCTGAACAGACCACCCGAGGTACAGGTATTCTGATTTATTGTAAACGCAGTTTGTTCCAGGCCTACTCGTTTGATTGCCAGTTGCCAATATCCAAATCTCCGATCGAGGACCGCGAATATCCTTCACTGTTACAGTCTATTAAGATATCTGAAAATGATAGTGCTGGAGCGAAACGACTCACGCATATTTCATTCAGCCTTCGGAAGTCCACGCACAAACGGTATTTTCTATCAGACTCTTCCACCAGAACAACAGAGAATTCTATGGGCTGTGGGTTTCTTCAATCACAATTACATTCAGCACTTACGGTGTCTGCTTCTTCATCTCAACCTCCAAGTGTCTCACTGTCTTTCGAGGCCGCTGTGGACGATAGGTCTGTCGGGTCCACGGAATGATATGCTCGATCCACTTGCAAAATCCATATGGGCAGCCGTCATCCGTAAACAGGAGGTGGCACTTGCTGAGTAACTTCAGAAACAGGTACACTTGTCAACTCATTTCGTAGCGTAATATAATTTTACATAATAATTTTGCTTTTTGCTTAGTAGCCAGCTGGTAGCCTTCCGGAACGACGCCTATCCGTTGCTGGTAGCTCAACTGGCATACAACTGTTGTACTTATTTTCCTTTTCCTTTATGTATTGCGGCACAGTAGCTGAGGTGTTTCCCACATCTAGCTAACGGGTATTAAACAAACAAACAGGTTCACTTGTAACACAGTAACAACCGAGTGCGCGGAGAAAGTTCATCCAGGGAAAATGAGTGGCAGAGGCCCGTATCCAATCAACAGCTTCCATGGTTTTAAGTCGATGATAGCCTTGTTTGGGTCCTGGAAATCTGCTCCGAATATGATCTGCTTCGCATCTAGCGACACGACAAAGAGGTGTTTTAGTTTCCGCCCCCCGATTCAGACGAGGTGTTCTACCATACCACTACGTAGCTGCCAACAGCTCTCACGACAATGTAGCCCAATTGAAGTTTTTCGGCCCGTCGATGATCCATCACTGTGACATCCTCATTAAGCATCGCCTCGCCTACTTCCAACGTCGGTTTGATCACCATCAAGTACACATCACTCGACCTGAGAAAAAGGACAATATTGAATACGTTGGTTTGATACATTGGTCGCAGCACGTCCAGCCGAACAGTCACTTCCAGTGATCTGGTCTTCCGAAAATGGAGCCATCTTCTCTTGGTCGCTCCTCCGAGCGCGGAACGCGAAGGCCATTGACGCCTTGCGCGACCTGTTCCATCATTCGGACTAACCTATCCAATTCCTTCAAGCTTTCACGGTGTTTCTTCTCCAACGGAGCGAGTGGGGCGTCACTTGCGCAAGCTCCCCCAAGCGAGATCTCAGAGTGGCGTTCGCAATCTGGATACGTTCCGCGATCAGCTGCTAGAGAACGCTAAGGAATTGATCATCTGTAGGCAGAGCACGATCTAACAAGGCCCGGAGGTGAACTGCAAACACGAAGGAGCCGTTCCTTCTCCAAGATGGGCCTCATTTGACCACCGCACTGCCTCATGGCCGTTAACCCAGCAGAGAGCAATGGCTCCTTCGCGGCAGTCCACTGCAAGTTGATGGGACAGATTCGCAGCGTTTCCAGGATTGATTTCGCACGGTCATTCAGGAGACGTTGCAGGGCCGCCAGCTTTCCCGGTCGGTCTTCTCTCCGACCGCAACCGCAGCATCTTTGAAGTCTTAAAACACTATCCGCACATCCCTTCTCCAAAAGGCTCCGGTTAGGGGATCTACATGACCTACTGTGACAGTCACAGGACTAGTACGAGAACGTAAGGTGAAAATGGTTATTTATTGTGGTATCACCAACCGTGCTATTCATCTACGAACTCTCTTCTGGGAACTGGCTGGCATACCTTGCTTCTGTAGGTAATTTAAATGCACATATATCTGCGATTTCCAAGCGTACTTTTTCTGCTGACACATAGGCATAGTCCGCTGTTGGTCCGTTACCGCCTGGCTAGCTTGGTACATATATATTACTGGCACTGGATGCAGTAGTATCTGGCTTGTCACACCGCAATTCGAGCACATCTGGTCGCAACTTCCATCATCGATGAGGTGCAGCGGATCGGTGCTGCTGAATCGGGACGGGGCGCCTGGCTGCCGCGATTTTCCTCCACCGTTACTGAGAGACGGTGGAAGCCCAGTTGTTACTGAGCGAACTCTGAGTGGATAGAAGACAGGTTGCGAAATGTCAATAGTTTGATATCCCCCATCAGCCACATACAGAATACAAGCAGAAACACAGAAAGTTATATAAATGGAAAATGACCAACTCCAATTGAAATGTCCCAGTCAAGACCAAGGAATCCTGACTGAATGACACAATAGTTTCGGTGCACATATCACATGGTGATGGTCCCTAATTGGCAACATCCCCCTAATCAGTAGTATCGGGTATTTGATGTGCATTAACACTTCGAACGCAGTCTCCGGAGTCACATGATGATGAGTCATCATAAGGAGCTTGGTGATAGATGATGCCGGGATCCGATTAATCCGCAGATCCGTACCGTTTTACCGCATAAATCACTGTCATTTGTTCAGCTACCCTCTGTCCATTTAAATGTCACTGCAACGGCAGGCGAATTGATAAACAACGTGAGGGCCGAAATACCTGAAGAGCTGATCTGTCGGTTATGAAGGACAAGGCTTCGCATGATATGCATGAGACGCAATTGGGCGGTGGTGTAGGTGCGCGTTAAGACAGTCAGGAGGTTGTGTCCGATGTGATTTGCCACATGGTCTCCCATGAATGGCAAGAAGAAATAAGCATCCTTCTTTTCTCGGATCAAGAGAAATACAAACATTACTATTACTAGTATTCCTTCTTTTTCATTGCTGTTACTAGCTATTGTGATGGTGACGTGAGACAAAGTGAACAAGTCCATCGCACACCGATGTCATATGTGTGTAGGTGAATTGAGTTGTATATAGATGGGTTAGCTCGGTTAATCACAAGTGGAGTGGAAGTTCCACCAGAGAAACCTTGAGCATGAGGACGACACAGTTCTCCTTAGGTCTGATGAGTTGGCTATACAAACTCTACTGCACATACTTGTGCGTAGCGCCGCACGACTTGGCATGTACTGCGCACCTTCAAAGTGCAAAGTGCTCTTGAAGAACTGGGCCAACACACTTCCGGTTTTAGCTATTTCCGAAAAGCCGATGGATGTGGTGAATCGGTTCACTTATCTGTGCCACGTCTGGTGGTCACATCACTGAAGAGGTTACTTCGCGTATCAGCAAGGTCCGTGTGGCTTTCCAGAGGCACAACCATGTATGGAGACGGCGGGATATCAGTTTGTCAGTGAAGGGTAGGTTGTAGAACGTTGCGATAAGGCCAGTTACTGTACGGATCGGAGACATAGCGAGTTCGCAATGAAGATATTAAACCCTTGGTCGTGTTTGACCACCGGTGATTGTAGAGTATTGATGACGTCTGGTGGAAACCCTGGGTGTGCAATGCTGTGATTTGCCAGTTGGTTTTTGGCAAAAAGCCTTCTGGTGCCTCTCTCACGTGTTTGATAAATCATAGTCGCTTGCGTTGACTACGGCATGTTCACCGTATGCCCGTTGGCCAGCTTCCACGGTGTGCATTACACGCCGTGACTGCACCAACTTGGGCGAAACCTCGAAGTGGCCAGTCCATGACATGGCATCGAGGCATGGGGAAATTGACCGAGAGACCTGGTCAGGCTGGTGCGTGGCGCCTTCGTGGATGGGGGCCTCGGGTCGGTCCACACCAATGGTTGGAGACGATGTCAGACATGGCGCAGTCACGAAGTCAGTGGCGTTTCTGCATTCGGTTGAAATGAGTGACACAAGTGCCGTGGCATAAAATGGGTTTCGAGTAACCGCCAACCATAATAAGTTATGGTAGTTAAAGAGACAGATATGGAGCGCGAAGTAAAGACAGGAATTGGCGGAGGGGAGCATATGAGATGAAACCAGTGGATAGCTCAATGGGGGTATGGTTTAAATACGATGCTTTGGTAGGCTGGCCTGTAGCCCCGAATTTGGTCACAGGAATGTTGAGTTTGAGAAATTCACTAGGTGATCCACGAGCTGATGAGTTAATAGTCAGATGACAGAATCTACTTGTAATTCATGATAGAACGGAATCCACAATACAAAACACCATCCCCTACGTACCAACAAAAGGTGAAGAAGTCACTACTCTACCGACCAGATGAAGTATTGACTCGATTATACAATATGCTCGACGATATGTAATGCTGTAAGGCCATTATGTGTTCAAACACACAGCTATTAAAGGAAACCATATGGCTATGAATTATCTGAGGGTGAGCTTAAAAAAATGAAGCCCTACTTGCGTGATTCGCAGACGCCAGTATAATCTCTCATGAACCATAAACAGCTCATATTCCACGCATTTCTACCGGTCTCCTGGAAATATCGATAATGGTCTTACAATATCGATGGGCGAGTTGAAGATGGACACCAGAGTTCAATCCCAGGTCAAGCTATCTTCATCTGATGAGTCCTAAGTAGGACGACACCCGTTATGGGGTGTCAGTGTTTGGAGGAGCAACACAGATCCACCTTCAACACTCAGGGATGTTTAAACTAAGGGTAGTAACGAAGAAATAAATGTATCCAAGGAAGCGGTGAAACACATTTGAAAACAGAAGTCAAGGAGAAAATGCAGTAAAGACCAGTCAGTGCCATCGCGTCTAGGTGTTTCTGAACAGGGACAAAGGGAAAGCTTTAAGCTAGCACGAAAACTGAAGCTACAGTAGTAGTGGAAGCAGGGCAAAATGTCAGTTGTTCTACTAAAACGGTGATAATAAAACACTTGCCCCATCAACGAAGGGATTGGCTACACCGAACAGAGGGTATGCCAATGTAGCTACGGCCCATAGATCGGCCTTCGCGTAATCCGTGCCTGAGAGTTCAAGTGATGCTTCCGCGTTGGTAGACCACAGCCGCGACGCGATTTCGGGGGCAAGCAGAAGGCTATTTCCACTATGTGTGAGAACATCCATACGGGATTGCGTTAGGTCTGGACCAAACATATGGTCAAGGAATCGAAAGAAACTGGACCATGTATCGTCAGGATTCCAAACGCGAGTCCGAACAGCGCATCCAAAGTCAGTGATGGCGACATGAAACCGTGTATTTAAAAGAGATGCCTCCTTGTCTGAAAGACGATAACAAAGGATATTGGTACAAGGTTGAAAAACATTAGAAGCAAAATAGAAAAACAGTAGTGAAGTGAAAACCGAGAGGGAGCTTGCAAGAAATCCAGCGAATGGTAGAAGAAATATAGTGAAGAAGGAAAACCGTAATCAGGAGGAAACAGAAACAAAATCGAGAAGTATATGGAGTATAACCAAATCGCCGTACCAACAAGTAAATATACACGTTTTACACCGAATGGCGTATACATGACCGTTTGCGTCCTTTCCATCATCTCTCTTCACATCCCACCGCTACAGAGCTGGAGGTTGAGGTGACGTGGCGCGTCGCGTCGCGTACCTCAGTTCTCTCTTGAGTTACATTTGATAGCACCATCCAGTGCGTTCAAAGTCACAGGTTAAACAGTGCATAGACTCGGAGCTGGAATCTCAGTAAGAAGGCTTATACACACACGGCGCCTAACGAATGTTAAGCACCAGTGGAATCAAACTGATCGCACTGACATCAAATATAGAAGGTGCACATCAAGCAAGGGCGTGTAATAATACAGAGTAAGCGTCCTGAGCACAACTTTGCTCTGGTGCGCACGCGTATAACGCCAACTGCCTAAGAAGTTACTCGTTACTTGTTCTCGCGGTCGGTGGGGCGGTAACGTCAGGTGGTATCGGACGAATAGAATGACTGTCGCCAACCAGTGAAGCTGCTTGTCCGTCAAATACGAGGTGCCTAAAGACCAGAGGGGTTTCTGAAGCTACAAATGTTCGAATGAAAAACTGGAGATAACTTTGCATCTGCAGAATTCTGAACCTGCGTCATACTATGAGTCGCGGGAGTTACCGAGTTATGGTGGGTAGTGATGGATCTATGAAGTAAGGATAGTGTCATTGGAAACAGTTGAGACTCATGTACATGAAAGGTTTCTGTGATTAAAACAATAGCTAAAAAGATGTCCGACTGATTCGCTCAGAGCAGCCAACGTGAATATCGTGTCGAATACGCGACGAGACTGACGTTGATGTGGTGCGATGGTTTATGTGTCTCAATGATGGGTGGTGGATTTTGCCTAGGCAGAACCACTCATACCAGATTGGTCAAAGGTTAGAGGCCAGACAAACGCAGTCTACTGGCCCGCCAGGTTGGGGGTTAGAGTAAAGGTGGCTCATCACTCCAGAAAAAGAACTCTCCGTAGCCCAGTGCTAAAACCCCGCTGCCTTGCGGTAAGGTTTAGGAACCAAAGACTTTCGTTGAGAACCCTAACCATTCGCCTGTGTAGGCTTGAGAAAGGTAAGGTATCAGCAGTACGTCGGTACGCAGTACTGATGCTTCATTGCCACGCAACCACCACCAGTTGCATGTGGGCTAATGACATTGCTAAGGTCGCCCTATCCCTACGCAGCCTCGAACCCGCATCGGTAGATAGCAAAGCAAGCTAGGTAACTTTAGATAAGGGGCCGGTCTTGCTTGGGAAACCTCACAGTATCCAGCCTACGCAATACAACACAATAACTTTTGATTCAATCTCTTGATGCACCCGTCGTCGCAGAGGGTTATCGATGGTGCCCAATCGGCTGGCTTGCCGAACAACCTCCTCGTGGTGCCAGCTGGGTGGTTCGGGTTTTCCCGTTCCAGTGAATGGTTCGGCGGCAGTGTTCCAGGACGTGGTGAGTTTTCGCCTGGTAAGCGTTCTCCCTATAAAAAGCCACAAATGTCTGTTTAACAACACTGCGACGTGGCGGATGTGACTCGCCACTAAATAAAGTCACTACCCCTTGCCCCTCCCTGAGAGGCATTGTACTTCAAGGGTGTATTGGGCTCCTGGTACTTCACGGACAGAAAGGCGTATGAACCATCTATTTGGTCACCGGTACCCAACGGATTGTGACGTCCTCACATCGCCCTGATGCCTTTTAGGTTAGATCTCTGATCAAAGGCTAGGGGTAGGGCCCCCTAAGACAACCCTCTACTTCGGCCTGAGCAACCGGGTAGTACCACGCCCACTGACGAATCATGGACCACACCGCTCACTACTGCTACTGCTGTGCATATCTTCTATGCTAATTCCACCGCTCAACCTCCACTCACAGATCCCCCCACCTCCCGTCCTTCACCCACATGTACTCTCATGTCATCTACGGTCACCGTCACAAACGACCCACGTCTCGCAGCTGCTGGAAGTAACGGCTAAACTCCCGGTCTTCAATGTCCTGCGATTGCAACCGCCTCTCACTCCACCGAAGTTCCAACTCTTCTTCGACCTGGTTCTCCATTCATCCTCGCAGCGTTTAATGTTCGAACTTTGATGCAGATCGGACGACAAGCATGTCTGGCCCGTACTCTTGAAACACTTTCGGTAGACATCTGTTGCCTTTCAGAGACCAAATTACAAGACTCTAACGCCGTCATCAGAATGGCCTCTCCGGTAAACCCTGACGCCAAATACTACTTGCGGCTTTCCGGAGACCCAGAAGCTGCCGCCACTGGTCAAGCTGGTGTTGGGGTTGTACTGAGTGCCAGGGCTGAATCAGCTCTGCTTGACTGGATCCCAGTCAATACCCGACTATGTGTAGTCAGACTAAGAGGTTCATGTAACGTAAGTAGGCGTCGAGACGTTAAGCGTGCCTTGTTAGTTGTCTCCACCTACGCCCCTACAGACTGCAGCCCGGATGCAGTTAAAGATAGCTTTTATCAATAACTACATGAATTTCTGTGTTCCTCCAAACGGACTGATATAGTCATTCTTGCCGGGGACTTTAACGCACGGGTTGGCCGCATTCCACCAAGCGAGCACCACCTTGGGGGTAGTTTTGGTCTCGGTGGTAGTCGATCAGACAATGGAGACAGACTGCTTGCTCTCTGCTCTGATCATCGCTTGTTTCTTTCGAGCACTAGTTTTCGACACTTGAGGAGACACACTGCTACCTGGCGCCCGCCCTCACAAACGCAAGAGTGCTCTCAGCTTGACCACATAGCAATCAGCTACAGATAGCGCGGAAGCGTAACGGAATGCCGATCGTACTGGTCAACTTTTCTAGACTCCGATCACGCACTGGTTCGTGCTAAGATTTGCATGCGTTTCGGAGGATCACCTAAGCGCGCCCACTACCGGCCGGACGTCGCGAATCTACAAAACCCTGCGATTTTAACCAGGTACCAAGTCTCACTGTCAACCTTGCTTGGCTCAACTATTGACGGTGATCTCGATTCGCAGTGGGCGCATATCAAAGATGCTTTAGTTTCCGTCAGTATCGACACTTGTGGAGTTACCCGTCACCCACCAAAGCATTGGATTTCTGCCGACTCCTTGTCGCTGATGGACAGGTGCCGCTTACTCCCATCGGATTCCAGACACAGTGAAGAACGCCAATACCTTGGTCGAGAGTTGCGCAGGAGTCTGCAAATGGACCGCGAAGCTTGGTGGTGTGAACGTGCTAGGGAGATGGAGCTTGCTAGTTGCTCTGGTAATACCAGAAAACTCTTTCATCTCATTCGAGTCACCGAAGGTGTTCGATCTGGTATAAGTGAAACAATATGCGAAGAGGATGGCATCTTAATCACCAATCTTCAACGACGGTTGGAGCGATGGGCCGAACATGTTGGCTCACAGCTTTGTCGGCCCCCAGCTCCATCTGCTACCTCTGGCGCTCGCGCTGGAACCGAGTGGTCTACCCCCACAGATCCTCTCTCTACCCAGGAAATCGAGCAGGAGCTCCGGCACACGAGGCATTATAAAGCCCCCGGCCCTGATGGTCTCCTTCCGGCTCTATTTAAAGATGGCGGCGCACCGCTGGTCCGAGAACTCACCGCTTTGTTCTCGAAAATTTGGTCGAAAGAGAAAGTTCCGTCATCTTGGGGTGAACCGACAGTCGTCCCCATCTTCAAAAAGAGCCTGTGCACAACCTGCTCCAACTACAGAGGAATAAGCTTAGTCCCCGTCGTTTGCAAGCTGCTGGTGTCCATCATACTTTGCAGGCTATCCCCAACACGCGAATCGTTGCAACGAGAAGAACAAGCTGGGTTTCGCCCTGGTCGCGGCTGCATCGATCAAATCTTCACGCTTCGCCAGATCCTCGAGCTCCGCCATGTGTATCAGAGGCCAAGGATTGCTGTGTTCTTGGATATCCCTGCAGCCTTCGATTCTGTAGATCGTACAGTACTGCGGTACTGCCTACTGAAGAATGGTGTCGCAGAGAAGTTCGTCTCCATACTGCGCGCTCTATATAGTCTGACCTCGGGCAGGGTTAGGGCTTATGGCAAGCTTTCGCCTACCTTTGTGGTCTCCAGTGGAGTTCGACAAGGATGCCCTATCTTTTGGTTCCTATTCAAGTTTGCCATCGAGGATGTCTTGAAGAACGCCCTAGGCGATTCGTTGAATGCTGGCGTTGAGCTCCTCCCAGGTAGTCGAGTTGTTGACTTGGATTATGCTGATGATATCGTCTTGCGGGGTGACGATCCACACATCGTCCAACTTGCATTAAACCGCTTGGCGATTGAAACATCAAAGTACGGTATGTACTTTTCGCAATCCAAATGTAAGGCTCACTTCTAAGACTGGCAGGTGCCTCTGTCTGCACTCACGCTTGCTGGTGAGACACTAAAGGTTGTGGAGCGCTTTGTCTACTTTAGAAGTTGCATCACTGCTGGCGGGGCTGTTGGAGACGAAATTTCGATGCGCATCTCGAGAGCAGGCCTCGCTTTATCTAGGCCGAGGCATTTGTGGCGACGCCATGGCATTTGTCTCTCCATCAAAGGACGGGTCTATTGTGCAACTGTTCGTGCTGTACTGTTGCATGGATGCGAGACCTGGCCCATTCGTAAAGATGACTTGCGCTAGCTATCCGTCTTCGAGCACCGCTGTCTGCAGTCCATTGCCCGTGTGTGGTGTCAGCACCACGTATGTAATGTGGAAGTTAGACAGCGTGTCTTGGGACGTGGAAGCCACTCGCTTAAGGAGCTCGTCTCACTGCATCAACTGCGGTGGTTGGGACACGTATTGCGCATGCC